AACTTTTCCCTTTGTCCCTTTCTTTATGTCCTCAGAGGAAATGAAGAGACTAATACCAGGATAACTGCAGGTGGAAGGGAGGCAATGCAAGGAGTAAATTCCACCATTTGGAACTTTTTTTTCCTGGAGGGATTTTCCCGATACCCGAGGTCTGAGATTGTTCTCTTTGTCTTCAGCCTTGTCGTGTATCTGATAACCCTTTTGGGTAACAGCACTCTTATTTTAATCACGATCCTAGATTCACACCTTCGAACCCCCATGTACTTGTTCCTTGGAAATCTCTCTCTCGTGGATATTTGTTACACATCTGCCTCTATTCCTGCTTTGCTGCTGAACTTGCTGTCATCCCAGAAAACCATTACCTTTTCTGGGTGTGCTGTGCAGATGTATCTGTCCCTTGCCATGGGCTCCACAGAGTGTGTGCTCCTGGCTGTGATGGCATATGACCGTTACGTGGCCATCTGCAAGCCGCTGAGATACCCCATCATCATGAACAGGCGCGTCTGTGTGCAGATGGCCACCGTGTCCTGGGTGACGGGCTGTTTGACTGCCCTGCTGGAAACCAGTTTCGCCCTGCAGGTGCCCCTCTGTGGGAATCGCATCGACCACTTCGCGTGTGAGATTCTGGCAGTGCTAAAGTTAGCTTGTGCAAGTTCCCTGCTCATGGACACCATCATGCTGGTGATCAGTGTCCTCCTCCTGCCCATCCCAATGCTCTTAATTTGCATCTCTTATGTCTTCATCCTTTCCACTGTTCTGCGAATCAGCTCAGCAGAGGGAAGAAACAAAGCTTTTTCCACCTGTGGTGCCCACTTGACTGTGGTGGTCTTGTATTATGGGGCTGCCCTCTCCATGTACCTGAAACCTTCCTCATCAAACTCACAAGAAATCGACAAAATCATCTCATTGCTTTATGGAGTGCTTACCCCCATGTTGAACCCCATGATTTACAGCTTAAGAAACAAGGAAGTCAAAAATGCTGTGAAAAAACTGCTGGGCAAAATACCACTGCATCAAACACAAGAACATCTCTGACTGGGCGTGCCTGTGGTTCTGCCAAGGATGTTCCCCTGGCAGAACTTGCCAGAGAAATTGTAGACAACAGACCCCTCAGAACTCTGACTTGAACCTTGGTTCTGCAATTTCACAGTTATGAGATATGAGGACACAGAGTGATTGCCTATGGACAATAGTAGGTTC